ACAGACAGCATACTGGAGACAGCTCGTAATGAGATTAATAAACTGTCAGAAAGGAAGCAGACACTGGAGACCGACATGAAGGAAATCAAACAACAACTGCAGGAAACAGAGGATCAGAAAGATGCACTTCAGAACAAACTGCAGCCGAACAAATGAAGGAAATAAACAGATTTCTGACCTGTTTTTTCAGTCAGTCAGTGAAGTTTAACATCATTTGACATCTTCCAGAATAACAGTGACAGTAAAACAGGAAAAGGTCTGAAGGTTTTATCTGTTGATGATTTAGAAACACGCAGTTGTCGGCAGAAGACAACAAAATCATTGTCGATTTAAATATAACGAATGTGACGTTTCTCTTCTTTAATCCTATTCAGGAGTTGCAGTGATTCGGGGACGAGCTTCTGTGTTTTCACTTTGAGAATTGTCAGTGTGTAGTCTTGAACTGCATCGTGGTTTGTTTTAGGTTTTGCCTTTTGTGTAAACTTGTATCTGTGGATGCTGTTTTTGCATTTTCTTTATATTGATTTCCATTATCGTCTGTTTGTGTTGCTTTTATTTTCAATGATTTTTGCTAACAGATGTGCTTCACAAATAAACTGCGTCGTCAAAGTTGTGCCACCTTTTTTATTTTTATTCTATTATAAGAAATATATTCAAACTGGAATTATCTCAAGGTGTTATGCACGTAGAGTTCCCAGAAAGTTCTTCTTAACGTCAGGATAACCGAGAATGATCGTGAAGCATACCTGCTGCCATCTCAAAACTGAATGCTGCATTGACAACGTTCCTGCTTTGTTCTGATGTAAAACTGAGAATGTTTATATTTTCAATCACGTGTTCCCTCAACAACGTCCCCAAAACATGCTGAAAACATTTCGGGCAGAGTGTTGTCTTTTAGGAGAACATCCTACACTGTGGTCTCGCAACAAAAAAAGCAGCATGTTCTACTTTCCTTATATCATCTTACAGGAACGTTAAAAAAAAATAAAAATCATTTGAGGCCTTGGGAACATCTGGAAAAAAACTTTTGACTTTTGTTTTGAGAGCGTTCCTTCGTTGTCGTCATGGAACGCTGTAGAACGTTAAAGGAATCTATTCTGTGTTCCCTCAGTCCGAATGTTCCACCTGTGTTAAAATATCGCAGGACAGGAACGTTCTGTCACGACATCTTGAGAACATGTTTTTAATGTTGCACTGAGAACATCCTTCCTTTGTTGTTATTGTGTAAACGTCTCATAGAAGAACGTTCTCTTGTGTGTTCCTTGAACCAAACCACCCCTAATTTATCAAACCATATTCGAACCGTTCTTCTTCCCCATTCAGCTTTTTATTACCCATCTCACCTGTTCTACACCTGCCCCTTCTCACGTCTCACCTGTTTTACAACCTGTTTCACCTGTTCTTCCACCTGTCTCAGAGAAGCAGTTTTTGTCACCTGAAGGAGGCCTTATCGGGTTTTCTGACATTATGTTTTCCCTTTTTTTCTCCTGATTTGTTGTTGTTCAGATTTTATAGCGTCTGCTTGATTTTCAAATCAGTTTGCGTTGCTGTGGCTGTATTTGATTCCATTGTCTGACACGTCAGTCGTCTTATCGCCGTTAAATGGGTTTGAAATTGTTTATACTTCACTTGATTGATTTCAGTTTCAGATTGAGTCACATATCTTCACTCTAAATTGTTTTACAGCCTTATAAACGAGGACCTGGACCTGCAATAAACGCTTAGTGCACATTCAAGGAAAATATCTTTATTGCACAAAATGGTTTTGCTCATCCAATGAAAGGCCTGTGATACCGAGCATATCATATCAAGTTACGGTCCAACAGTGAATGAGTAATCACTTCAACAGCTGACTCTGTAAAGGTAAGCTGCTGCTACTTTTATATCACAAACTAAAACGCAAAAATTGTCAGGAAAAAAAGACGATTTTCTAACCAAGTTGTAAAATTCTTAAGACGTAGTTTGAAGTGTTTATGCAGAAATGATTTGAACTATTGATTTTTATACAGACAACCACAGTGATGTTAACTGTTGAAATGACAGCAACATAAAATATTCAGATTTATTCCGTTTTTAATATATTTTTTTGTCATATTTACATCTCATCTCTTGCTGTTTCCTGTTTGCTTCAAACCTTATATCTCTGTACAGAAATCCCAAGAGCAACTTTACTGTTTTAAATTATTGTGTTTTTGTTCAACTGTTTAATAGTTCTGCTCATTTTGAGATCCAGAACATTCCACAGTTTTATTCCACTAACCGACGCTCTTCCTTGTGCGTCGATCAAACAGCCTTTTAAAGTTTAAATGTCCTCCTAAGTCATAGTTTCTTCTGTTGCTTCTGAGCAGCTGCTGCATGTAATCAGGAAGTTGTTGTTTGCTTTGAACATGATCTGCAGCGATTAATTTCACAAAAGCAAACATTTTCAAAGTATTCGTTGTCAAAAAAACATTCTTCTCATCTGGTCCACAAATACTGACAGCGTCTCGGTTTGTTCCTCCGATAGTAAGAAATTCAAGCAGCAGTGACCAGCTTCGTGTAAAAACCAACAACTGTTGTGGTAAATTGCTCAAAATGAAGTTGTACCAAAAGAGAACCACAACTCAGCTTTATTAACTCAGATCTATTTTAAGTACAAGCAGTGTTAAAGAAAAAGCTGATGTCACGTAATTATCTCATCACACTCTGTAAATCACTGACAGGTCTTTTACTTTGACCTCTAGATAAAGAGACTTTATTGTCATTGTGCAGAAGTACAACGAAACTTGTGTGGAAGAACACGACAATAGCAGCAGTGCAAATAAGAATAAAAATAAGAATACTAGAAATAAAAATAATTTAAACAAAGTACTATATACACAAAGCATTATATACAATAAAGTGAAAATATAAGATAGTGCAAATAGTGGGAGCACTGAACTGTCCTATCGAGCTGGGGATGTCTGGGTGGTGGGGCAATGTGTGGGGGGTGTGATGGCGGCAACAGCTCTGGGGAAGAAGCTGTTTCGCAGTCTGCTGGTTCTTGTTTTTAATGTCCGAAATCTTTTCCCTGATGGAAGAGGGACAAACAGTCTGTGTCCTGGATGGGTGGGGTCTATGGCAATATGATGATCAGCTGCTCAGTTAGTTTAGACTTAAAATGTGGCAGCACGTTTAAGGCTGCACATTGTTATGTTCGTGAAGCAATCCCTTTTTAAAATTTTATTTTAATTTTATAGTTGTGCTCATTTTAAGATTGCCAAACAACAAAAAATAGTTCCAATACTGACAATCTATGGATGTCAAGCCACCGTTCAAATAATTTGCAAACTGTCTGGGTCCTACACTGACCCTTGTGGAACACCATGCTGAATACACAGTGATATTTTTTAGTTACATCTTCACAAATCATTGCCTCTTACTAATATAACTTTACAACCAGTTCAACACTTCCCCCCTTATGACACAGCTGTCCAATTAATCAATTAGTATTTTACGATTTATCGTATCAAATGCTTCTTTAAGATCCACAAACACTCCATCCATACATGTCTTATTGTCAGTGGAATTTGCTGTTTATTCTGTTTGCTCCAAAAATGACATTGCTGTTGATCTATTTGGTTCAAGTCCACACAGACGTAGTTGAAGTTAAACTGGTCTGCAGTTTGTAAAAATGTGATTGTCCCTATTTTTAAATAACAGAATCCCTTCATTCCATTTGGGAAGGTACCATAGTGAAAAGAGATTTGCAATGTTCTTATCATTTCCTTTTAACCAGTGGAAGGAACAGTTCTCTACCAGCAATAGTTTGCATCATTTTGCAGAAGCAGCACTTTTTACTGGCCATAAATGTTTTTATTGTCTAGTGCAGCAGCGTGCGGGCTGAAGCAGCAGCACGCGATCGTTTTGTTTTGTGCAGAAGACGAGTCACATGACGCCTTAAACGTCCACTTCTGTGTGACTGAGAAAGTTAATCACCACCTTAATGACGATATCTCTGACTGGGGCTTTAGTTTTTGTCGAGCCGGATTTTAAACCAGGACATCTCTGGTTCACATGTCGGCTGGGTCTTATTAAAACATGTTTTCTATCTGAAAGGTATCATAATGTAATCCGACTGCAGCAAACAGGAAGGTAGTTATTCTTCACAAAGTTGTCTTTTATGTTGTAGTTTTCCACCAAACCAATGAAACATCAAGTGTTTTTTATTCCTATGTTATGACCATGTGGTATTTTATGATACTGTGGTGACCTATTTATTGTTTACTTGTGTCTTTATTCAGCTTCATTGCTGAGGAAACATGAGTGTGTACAGCTCCTTTGGATTCTTGGCGATACTCCTTCACATTTTCCCAGCTGTCACAGGTAAACGGAAAACCTGCACTACATGGACGAATAAACCTGATTTAACAAGACCAGAAGGGTTGCAGAGAAACTTTTCTTACTGCAAACACACAAGAAGTTCAGAAACTGCATCTATAAAAAACAAAAGAAAAACTGATTTAAAGTTGGTTGCCATCCTGTTTAAAGTTCCTGTGCGAGGACACGCCGTTACACGCAGATTTGTGTTTCACCCCCGACCCCAAACTTGCGAAAAAGCAAACATCACATTGTCTTTCAAACTGACCCAAACTCCATTTTAAGAGTCAACACCGGTTTCAAGAGATGCATCTGCAGGTGAAACCCAGAGAATCAACAGCAGCTGCTCATCGTTCGGTATTCACACGGTCACGCGGTGGGAATTTGCGGACCGTCAGCACCCCAAGCGTGACGTTCTGAAGCTTTTGAGGGAGAGTTTAAAGGTCTCTGTTTCAGAGATCCAGCTCATGTTGCAGATGGCGGCAACAAAGCGGGACTTTCAGGGAGTCTTACGAGGCAGGAGCAGAGTGTCGCTGCACCAGTGGATTCTTAAAGGGGATGGCAGCTCAAATCTAAATCAGTAATGAGCTTTTCCGTTTTAACTCCAAACCACATCTGTTTTGCATTTCACTGTCTGGCTTCTTTCTCTGTGTTTGATCATTTCAGCTGATCTCGGCGATGTTTCGTCTGTTTCCATCGTCGTATTTCTGGCTGTTGGCGCCGTGCTGTTCTTTGCAGGTTTCCTCGCTGGGTGGAACTTTAAGCGTGAGTTCATTAATTTTGTTTTTCTCTCTCTTGTGTGACATTTCAGTGAACTCTGTTGCTGAAACCAGGCAAGGTAAAGATCAGTTTTGTTCCCCATCTTCTGCACTGATCCTGTTTAATTTCACACCTTTTGTCTACTGAAGCTGTGGAAGTACGCAGCCAAGACACGATGACCGTCGAAGACAGCGCTGTTGCTCCACTGAGGAATCCGAGCCTTGAACCGAAGGATCTGATTGGACAAATGAGACTCGTCCTGACTCGGACGGACGTAGATAAAAGCCAAAAGAAGCATGGGTCGATGGAGATACAAGTCACTAAGAAAAGGCTGACAAAAGAATCACAGAAATTATTGAGAGAAAAAGGACATTTGGAGGACAAACAGAAATACAAAGATTACGTACGACTGCTGCTTAACGTAGAGAATGAAATGAAACCTCACTGTGCATAACAGTGGTATGAAAAAAAAAGAAGCTCAAAACCAGTTAAAGAATCAGTTTTAATGCATTTAAATTTAATTTTCTTTTAACTGAAATAAGAAAAATTACATAAAGTTTAGAATCAACAGCATTTGGTATTGCTCTGGTATTTATTTGTTTGCTTGTGATGATGCTTTTTCTTACGCGTGAAAAAAAAAAAAAACAACAACCTTCTTGCTGTTACTTGTTTGTAACGTGAAATCCTAAACTTGAAGCTAATGATTAACCTGCAGATAAAGCAGCTCATGGTGCCTTTTTAAATATACTGAATACCCTCTGTTGTGGAAAACAGAAGTTACTTTAAAATGATTATATTTAGTTTTGTGTGTGTGTGTGTGTGTTTGTTTGTTGTGCATACTTTTGCTTTGAAATGAATAAAGATCTGAAGAATTTTAAATCAGCCGCCTTTCTGTTTTATCTGTGCCAAAACGACAAAATAAAAGAAAAAAAACGAAACATTAAAAATATATAGAGACTGCTATTAAACACGCTTTGAGCTGAATCTGTTGTTCAGGTTAAATCCACGATCACAGACTCACCTGCTCCTGAATGTGACGGTTTTGAACTGTTTTCCTTTTCCAGTTGTCTTGTTAATTGATGCTTTTTATTCTGTTAACTCTACATGATTGTGAATTAGGATTCCCCGCCAATGAGTCCTCAAGATTTACAATAAGGCTGAATGAAAAAAAAAATGTGCAAGTGGACTAAATCTTTGAATAGACCAGGAACAGATCTGACAATTAAGGATCTGGGAAGAAATGATGTTTGTATAAAACACAGTGACAAACCTGTTTCTTCAAAGATTCCACGCCTTTATCAGCTTTCTTCCTCTTCTGATGTTTAGGCCGAAGACGCCGGTCAGAAATTCAGAAGAAGAAACAGAACAAACGTAAAAGAAAAAATTCTAACAATTCATGAGTTAACTGGTGTGATTGTTTAATATTCATCCAGACTGTTTGCATTAACTGTTGTTCTACTTCTAGTGTGTTTTCTTACAAATGAAAGAATGGAGGAGGACTGTGAACCAGCAGCTTGTTTTTCCTCCAACTGGGAGTGAAAAGAGAAACACAAGTTCATTTATTAAAGTGAGTCATTGATCCATGAACTCAATGTTTATTCAGACTGTGTGTTTGCATTGACTGAGAGGAAAATCATGTTTTAGAGCTGCAGTACAAAATTACAGTATTTAAATATTAATATTCAATAATATTAATGCAAGATTGCTTTTCGACATATGTAAGACTATCATCTATACACACTGTGTTTTTCTCATTTCTTTTCCTGATTCTTGTGGTTTTTGTTGTTTCTTACATGTTGGGTTTTCGTATCTTTTATCTTCAAATACCTGCATTTCAACGTCTTCATGTAACGTCGGCGTCTCTGCTTCGGTTTGAGAGCAGTTCTTGTCTTCTTCATTTTCAGTTTTGTCCCTGATTCTTTTGGGTTCTGTGCAAAATGAAAGCAACAGAAACAAAGTGTGAAAGACTTTTAATACAACTTTTGAATCATCTCTGATCTTTGCCTCTAACATCACGATTTCCTTTAAAGTTCTTTGAGAACAAGTTGATATTTATGTGATGATCCGAGTTTTTGTGTTTTATTGTGAAACAGGTTTTTAGTGTATGAGCTTGTGTGTTGCAGGCTGCAAGTGTTTTTCAGGCTGGGCGCCGTTTTTGGACGTGAGAGGTGTAACCAGGGGTGACTCTGGTGATGGTTTTCCCTGCACTCTCTCTTGCGTTTGAATGCACCGTGTCACATGGCTTGCCAATCAGCCAATGGCATAGCTCCAACCGCTCTATAAAACTGCCCAGGCCCTTCTCCTCTTCAGTCATGTGGAGAGGAGCCAAGGGACAGCTGTTACAGGTTGGTGCTTTGCAAGCATTTTACCCTATGCATCATCAGTGGTTGTTTGGTGCCAAGCTATTTTCTTTACACCTTTTCTCGACCTGATAGTGAGCTGTGCTGGGGGCCTTGTCATTTTGTGCCAGAGTCCTGCTGAACTGGTGAGTGTGTAACATTGTTTTGTTAATTTTGGTTGGTCTTGATTGAGTTTCTTTTGGTTGTTTAATTGTTAGCTTGTTAGCATTAGCCACATGCTAGCACATGGCTAATGCTAACATGTACTTGAATGCCTTTATCATGCCTTTTTGTTTTGCTTAAATGATTAATATCAAATTGCCAACATGCTAATCATTAGCATGCTAGCATGCTAATCATTAGCATGCTACTCATTAGCATGCTAAAAATGCTAATGTTGAACAAATGTCTGAATTCATGTATATTCAGTGATGTACCATGTACATGCTAATGCAATGCTAACATTAGTTTAACGTCAGCGCTCGGTTTCAAGAACTGTTCTGAACTTTGTTTGTTTGGTCCATTCAGGCCAGGTGCCTTAACTTAGACTAATTAGATGGCGAGCTACAGATCCAGGCTCAGAGTCTAGGAAATGCCCTGCTTCAGCCCAGTTCCTGCTACAGTCTGGTAGGAGGCTATGCAGCCTGTCCCTTTATCTTCTTCCACAACCTCAGATTCTTGGGTTTATCACAAACCACCATCAGGGGGGTTTAGCTTTAAGGAACATCTGCTTATTTGTCTTTTCAAAGAGTTCTAGTTGGAAATAAAGTGATTTATGTTGTGAGTTTTAGATATACAATCATGAGCCAAAGTTTCCACTTGTAAAGACTATGTATATCATGACGGTCCTGAGTGTCCAATCACGCGATCATTGAATCATTCAAATACATGGAAAAAAAAACAAAAAAAACAACAATCATGTACTTTGTTTTTTTTCACAGATTTATTAAAAGTCTTCTGGACACATGGTCAAATCTACTGGGTCAAAAATATACATAGAGCAACTTGAATGATCAGTTTTGTTGATGTAGAAAGTTGAATTATTCAAATGTTCTTTCTTTCANGTTGATTGAGGGCCACCACCTCAGTTTACTTAAGAATTGTTTTAAATGAAATCTAAATGAGACATTATTTGAAATCACAGTCATCAGTCTGTTGTCTGAAAGCCGTCAGCTCTGATTACACTGACCTCAGTTCCCACACAAAGAAAGACACAAAACCATGAATTGGTCTAAATAAAAAAGGTTTATTAACTATTCAACTACTCTAATACACATGAACTATAAACAATGCAATCGGAGTGTGTGTAGTGGACATGTCATCAGATTACACAGTAAAATAATGAGGATGATGGTGGGAGCAGGATGGTTAATGAACGATCTAACGGTAGTGATTAATAGTTTGGTTTGCGATCGATACGCTTGTGAGCCGTTAAATAGCTACAACATCAACCCATCAGGAGCACTTTCTCCACAACGAATCCAGGCTGTCTCCTCCCACAGCGTTGTGAAGTTGCCTGGCAACGAGTTCTGCCGGGGAGCTCTCAGAAGCGCAGTGCTGGAGGCCCGTCAGCGGACTTCAATGTGGCCACACAGTGGTGGATGTGTTGGTAGGCAGCGTCCAGCGCGGTGTGTGCGCTCCTCAGGGTTGATGAAAAAAAATTATTTAATTGTTAACGGTGGCTCTCGTTGTGCTTTCAGCAAAGTTTGGTATTAGCCAAAGAACACAAAAAAAGGTTTTGGAAAACTGAGAGCAAAGGTGCGGTGCAACTGATCTGTTCCAAAAACAAATGTAATTTCTGCTGGTTCTTGTCGGTTTGATTGGGCAGAATCAAGCGTGTAAATTAGAAATTTAAATGACGGCGAGCACTGTCTTAATAAAACGAGGTCAAAACTACAAAAATGAAGGTATATAAAAAGAGGAAAGAGAAACGCGGACAAAGAAACGGAACAAAAGAAATGAGAGGGAAGAAGACAAGAAAGGAAGAGGGGCATGAAGGGCAAAGGCAAAAAGGCAAGAGCAAAAGAGAAGAGGCCGGAAGAAAAGCACTTTCCTACTTTTATTGTCTTCGGTCCCGAGGGTGTGTGCATAGGAGGCGTGGAGAGGATTTTGCTGTGACTTTTGGTAACTTAACCCTCCTCTCTTGGTTAGGAACAGGAGAGAAGGCTGCGTTTCTGAATTTAAATTAAGAAAATGCACGATGTACACAAACGAAATAAGTCCATCTCTCACCATGACCCATGAGCATGAAATAACAGAGCAGTGACCTACATATACCTCATAGGAAATAGCCTAGGCTATGCAACACAAATAAGAATGTGATATAAACTGTTACCTATGAGAAATGTACGTCAACACATGGAAACACAACACATGGGGTGAAGCATTGACTCCCACATCACTGATTATACCTATAATTAAACACTGATGCATTTAATCAGCGGGAACGTGAGTTTTAATGGTGATGTAGTCCCGACCTCAGCAGACCATTTACTGTTGCTAGGTGGCGCTGTGGGTCCGTGACAGAAGCATGAATATTTCTGTAAAAAGTTATCTTGGTCCTCATACCACCTACAGATGTGATTCTTGGATAGGTGATACAAAGGCTTCTTATTGAGATCAATGCAGTTATGAACACACCAAACAGAGATTGGGAAAACAGTTATTTAGCCTGTGTACGTATAAATGTAAAAGTAGGAGACTTCACTACAGATTCTCTCACTGGTGTACAGCACCAGTTTTACGACTGATCAGCTTCCGGGATCACAGGGTGGGGGAGAGTCTCCATAGAATCATAGTCATTGTGCTTTTGAAGTTGTTGTTTCCAAAGTATTAGTGTCCCATTTGTTGTTTCATGCCTCGGCAGGAGGCATGAGTGTCCATGCTTGCATCACCATTTTCCAGTGGAGTACCATCAGCGAAGTTGATCACAACAGGCTCCTGCTGTAATTCTCTTTTGTGACATTAATGGTGGTTCTTCCTGAGAATGAGTGGGTTTCCCCGTTCTGCACATTGTCCAAGGTGGCAGTTTTATGATGGGAGTAGATCCAGAATCTAAACAACAACTATGCTTGTTACCTGGTGTATGCCCCTGCTTAGGATTCCACAGAAAGTCAAGCGGTATCCGGTACATCTTTCTCTGCCTTCTCATCCTTCTGTTTGTCCAACTGTAGGAAGAAGAGATGAACAGAAACAATTCATTGAACAGAAGTAAACATCAACTTCACTTCCTGCTCTGAATAAATTCTGTCTTGTGATCAGCAGAAAGATGTGATGAAAGTTGTGTTCAGATCCTCTGGTCCAGGTTCATTCACTGTTTGTTCTCAGTGGATTCACACTGTAACAGGCTGCTGACTGTTTTCCTTCCTGTCATGTTGCACTTCACTGTTCAGCCTTTATTTAAACAGGATTTATCATCTGTTAAACCAACAACACTCCAAACAGTGACTCATGATGCTGTGTCCAGTATTTACTGTATTTATGACAGGACATGAAGCCATTTACTTCAGCAGGAGAATGTCGTTTCTGCTGCAGCTTCAACTTTTATGTCTTTGACTTCTGAATATGTGAAAGTAGATTCAGATCTGAGCTGCAGCTTGATGTGGAGACGAATCTTTACAGTGTTTGTGTGTTTACTTTTCTTTTCAGCTCGCTGATCTCTGTGATCTTTTCATCCAGTTGACGCTTAAGTCTGTCTTTATGTCACTGTCTTCCTTCCCTTCTTTCCTTCCCCTGCCCCTCCACAGTCCAAGTGTCCATGAGCAAGACACTGAACCTGAAGTTGCTCCCCATGGCAGGCAGCACCTTTCATTGCAGCTCTGTTGCCATTGGTGTATGAATGTGTGTGTGAATGGGTGAATGAGTAAAGCGCTTTGAGTGCCGCTAAGGTAGAAAAGCACCATGTAAGTACAGACCATTTTAGTGTGTTTTCTTACCTATGAATGGTGGGAGGAGGACTATGAACCAGCAGCTTGGTTTTCCTCCAACTGGGAGTGAAAAGAGAAACACAAGTTCATTGATTAAAGTAAGTCATTGATCAATGAACTCAATGACACCAACTGTTTCCAGATTCTGAGTATTTTCATGATATTTTCTGCATCAAACAGGAGAGTTGAGATATTTCAGTAAATACAAACACATGAACCTGATTGTTCTCAGTCTGAGTCTCCACATCTTCTACAGCCTTGGTCTTCATTTCAGCTATCTATGAAGAACAAGGAGAAAAATCCAACAAGACGACATGTGAATATGTCTGAAGGGTTTAAATAAAGTTTTGTTCAAATTCAATGCGACTAACCTGTTCTTTTACAATTTAATGTCAAAAAAATTTTCATGTTTATTCTGTGTATTGTTTAGTTAAATGCATCAAATGTAGAGTTCAGTTTGTGGCAGATAGAGTGGTGACTACCTAAATATGTTTCTTTATATGTTGCAATCATAAAAAAGAACAGAAGACAGTACATTTTTAAAGAAACAAAATAGTTAAGTTTGAATTGAGTAACATGATTTTGACAAGTACAGCAGAGCCTGAAAACTTATTTCTATTTATATGGTTCATGTCTTCATATAGGGCTGCGAGGTGGTGCGGTGGTTAGCACTGTTGCCTCACAGCTAGAAGATCCCTGGTTTGCATCCCAGTTAGGACACCCAGGATCTTTCTGCGTGAAGTTTACATGTTCTCCCTGTGCAGCGTGGGTTCTCTCCAGGTTCTCTGGCTATGGTCTCAAGAAAAGTATGTGACTTCCTATGTAAGCTAACTGTCTCGCTCGGACAAAACAGAAGCATCTAATAACCCTTTTCCACCAAACTGGCTCCAGTGCTGGTTCAGAGCCAGAGCCTGACTTAGCACCAGTTGTTTGTGTTTCCACCGCCTAAGCACCGGCTCCAGGCTCTCAAAACTGATGCTTTTCAGGCACCAACTCTTTGCTGGGCCAGAGCTAAGCACCGACTATGTGGGGCTGGGGGCGGGTTATCGTGACCACCGAGACCGATGAATGGATGGGACACACAAGCAGTGATGTGTGTCCTCTTTCACCAGGACGTCCCTGGTCCGATCGCAGATGTACTGTAGTGACTCCAGGGACACACAGAAGTTTTGCACACACTGTTGCGTGCTGAAAGCCAGTACAACTGTGTCCCACCAGCAGCACCACAGTGGTGGAAAACAGGACTTTTGTAACTTTGGTGAAGTCTTCTTGTGAAAAATGGAGCGCAGCTACACGCTGTTTATTCCGCTCATAGAAAAGACTGCATGAGAAAAAAATCACTTGATTTCATCTTGGACCAATCTGACATCAGAACCTCCTGGTTCACTCTGTTGAGGTCATTTTTGGTCACACACCAGTCTGAGCACCGCGGCCACCAACAGCAGCTACCACAGCCTGCTATGTGGGGCGTTCGGGGAACATCGTTAATTGTAGCGTCTATAGATAAGAAAATATTCAGCAGGTCATATGTTTTTCCTGTGACAAGGTGGGAAGTGCCCACAAATGAGAAAGTTGGTCGCACTGGTAAAAAAAGAAAAGTCTGCAGTCCTGTGTGGACTTCCGTGGGGCGTGCATTATTTGGTAAATGGCTACGTAGGCATTGACGCAATGGCACGGCCCCAGCTTGGCTCCTTGCTGACAGAAAAGCAACCGGTTCTTTGGAGGTGGCAGAATCAAACCAACTAAGCACTGGCCCAAGTACTGGCACAGAACTGGCACCTGGTTCTTTTAGGTGGAAAAGAGGTATAAATGAGGGCAGTATACTCCCAGGCATGTGACTTTGAAGGAATTCCTTCATAATGATATATAATGTCTCTCTTCAAATCTACATTTGCAGAAATTATCAAACTCATTCAAAGTTTTTTTTGTTTTTCGTTGATGTTCAAAGTGCATTTTAGCTCGTTGAGAAAAGTGCTCACAAGAACTTAAAGTCAATTTAGAAATTCCAGCTGGTCTTTGGGTGTGTTGTTTGCATCCTGAACTTGGAGGCTTCTGAACAGGCAGCGCTCTTATAGTTTCACTTCAAGAATTATTTCAGCAGTGCTGACTGAGGCGGGTTCTGTCTCAGGTGACCCAGCTGGCATTTTAAGAGTTTAAGCTGAATAAAGTGAACCTTGGTCTCCAGCTGCTTCTTCAGAGTCTCCACTTCTTTCTCAGCGTTCTCCCTTTTTGTTGTTTCCTCCTGAAGCTTTCCGTCCAACTGTGAGAGAAAAAAAGAAATGAAGAGAAACAACATGAAGGACATTTAGTTTTATTTTGGGGATGTAATAGGCAGGTCTGAATGGAAATTAATTTTGGATCCTCTGCATGTGTAAATACTTTGACTCAGTTTGGACTTTTATTCACTCTGAGCATGTTCATACTGTAAACATTCTAGAAAGCTGTTTCTCTTCTGCACCACTCAAGTGTAACAACCAACTGATCAACATGGGATCTGGAAAGAAGCATTCACATCTGATTTTAGTTTGATGTCAACAAACCAACAACATGTGGATCATGTGGAGAAGAAGACAACAAAAAGGTTGTTTTAATTTAATATATGAACCTCTTTGTTCATCTTCAGCAGTTTATTCAGTTCTTCCTCAGCCTCCCAGTCCTTGTTCTTGATCTGCTTGTCATGCTGTAGGAAGAAGAGATGAACAGAAACA